TTAATAAATAATTGACACGTTTATGTTATTTTTGGGAACTGGATGCAACATCTTTTAAAGATTTTGGTAGCCATGAATGGCATATTTGAGCGGTGAGTGGTTATTAAATAATTATCTTTGTGCATGCATACATTTGCTTTAATTTCTATCTTTATTGTGGATGATGGTTCATTGTATTGGTAGCTAACTTCTTGTGATGACAAGATGATGAACGAGTCGATTATTGTAGTGATTTAACAACATGATGAAAAGTCCATTATTAAAAGGAAATGTGTTTTTATTTGTGAGCCAGTTAAATGCAAGATATGCATGCTTATTATAACATCCAACTTTCATTTTGTCTTACTTATAGCGTTTTACTTCAAAAATGTTCCAAATTATAGATATAACAAACAAATAAATGAAAGTACATTGTTATATTTGTATTTTTTGTGATCATTGATTATGGTGTGTGGTATTTTGGGGGATCTCACTAAGCTTCGTGCTTACAGAGATCGGAAATGAGGTGTGACTACAGATCAGTTGTAATATAGCTTGGAGTAAAGCGAACTTAGTGGTTGCTTGGACATGTGGTTGGTTGGGATAGCTCTGTTGGATTGCACGGTTGGGATTATACTTGGGCTTGTGGCCATGTCGTTCGAGTTGTTGGGCGTGTAAGAAATGGTGAGGAAAGATTTCGAGGACGAAATCTAATTTAAGTGGGGTAGAGTTGTAACATCTCGTATATTAAATAAATAAATAGATAAGGGTTAATATGAATAATAATCCTAAAGTAAATAAAATCTAGCGGGGTGTTGGTGTTGAGGAGCCAATTGATACAATTTTAGAAGTTGGTAAAATATTGGGACTTAATTTGAAAAAATTTGAGAGGCTCAGGGACTGAATGGTAAGTTTTGGACCTTAAATGAAAGGAATTTATAGAAGCAGGGGATAAAGGGTAACTTTTGGATTTGCAATGAAAATAATTAGTGGGGAGGGACCAAAAGCATATATTGGGCAGCATAGTTTGAATCGGACACGGGTTTAACCCCGTATCCTCCGTTTCCTTCCCTCCCGTTGGATAAGGAGAACCCTAACCCTACACTATTGAATCGGCCGCCACCATCACTCGTAACCCCTCCAGCCGCCGCACCTGTCGTGACCGAGCACCACCTTCCGTCAACAACCACTTCGCCACCGAGAACGCAACCATGACGCCATAAACATTGTGGTAGTCGAGGAAACCACCGAGATTGAATTTTGAACATTGGATTTGTTGTTGTGATGAGCGTGTACGTATGGGAAGCTATCGGTATGTCTAAACGCCACCCACCTTCCCTCTTTTGTTGTTGCTGTGATGCGACGTCGGCTGTGGTCGCCGATGGCCTTAGGTCGCCGCTTCTACGCCTTCGGTTGTCGACTGCCGCCCAATGAGGCCGAGTTGGATGTGCTCGTGTGTTTGGATCGTGTATGTGAGTATGTTCGTGGGTTGCACGACTGGAAATCATAAGAACCCGCCACCACCACCACCGTGAGGTGGTGGCTGCCACCCATTATTGTTTTTTGCCACCCTTCGCCGCCACCAGCCGCCATGGGAGGTGGTTGTGGGTGTGTGTATGGGTGTATGCTCTAGTGTTTTCACTGTTTCGGTATTTTGGAGGTTATATGCGTGTTTATGTGGCAGGAAAACCCACCACCACCATCGTGAGGTGGTGGACGTCGCCGTGAGCCGCCACTGACCACCACTACCTGAGGTGGTAGTGGGTGGTGCTTGGCATAGTGAACCCTAGTTGGCCCAATTGCTTATTACTGGACTGGGCTGGCTCGTGATTGGGCCAAAGACCCTAATTAGGGTTTAGAAAACCCAATTTTTGGGTTTATTGGTTTGGGCCTATTGGGACCCGCGTTTGGGCCAGTGGACTGAAGTTATAACTCATGACGATTCTATTGTATGATGGCTTAGTGGAATAATGGACTTAATGGGTTAAGTCCTTAATGGGTTAAGTGAGAAACACTTAACCCTAATCGTCATTTTATGTGAAAACCCTAAATTTGCTTGGGCCTTATGGTGGGCATTTCTTTTGGGCTTTGATGATTGGGCTATTGATGGGCTATCCAAGAGCAATCATGTGGACTAGAATATTTAGATGGGTTTTAGGGTAAGGCCCATATGAGGGTTTGGGCCCAATTTGGAAAATTGGGCCATAGTTGGGCCATTAGTGGACTTTTGTGGACCCATCTGGTATTGGGCCTTAGTGGGCCCATTGGGCTTGGGTTATTTATGGACCAGATTGGTGGACCATATTTAGACCTAATAATGTGAAGGTTAGTCTTAGATCCTAATGGGGTTATTTGTGGGTTTGGCTTAGTGATAGAAGCCGGAGTGCAGCAGCAGCATTTATAGGGATCTGTTTGCCATCCGAGGTGAGTCTTCTCACTATACTTACCTGTGTTGTAATTCGTGTGTTACCGGAGGGTATTATTCTTGTTGATGACCGGAGGGTCTTATTCACACTATTGACCAGAGGGTCTTAGTATATTATTGACCGGAGGGTCACTGTACATTGTAGACCGGAGGGTCTTAGTACATTATGGACCAGAGGGTCTTATTTGTTTGTAATGTGATATGTATTATCGTGCATATTGTCTTTGTGACTTATGCTGTTATAGTAATCTGTGTGAATATTGATCGTACGTGCATATACTGAGGTATGTGATATCACGCATTCTGTTTTGTGATCTATGTCATTTACTATCTTGTGCATACTGTCTTTGTGATTTATGTCGTATACTATCTAGTGCATTGTTGGGATAGGACCGGAGGGTTCTTCTGAGACACATTGACCGGAGGGTCTTATTTGAGTATAGCCATGAAAGGCTAATGGGATGTGTGTGGTATTTTGGGGGATCTCACTAAGTTTCATGTTTACCGTGTTATGTGTTATGTGTTTCAGGTACTTTTCAAAGATCACGGGAATGCGCCGACTTGATTGTACACACGAGATGGAGTTATGTTTCTGAGGATCCTGGATTTTATTCAAACAATTAAGAACATGTGTTTTAATAATTTGACATTTTGGGGATTTGTGATACGTGTTGATGTGTTTTATGTGAATTTAAAATGAAAATTTTGTATGAAAATTTTCGTTGTTACAGTGTGTTGAAACAGGAACAATTGGCGGCCTTTGATTCAAAACTCAAATTGAAGAACACTTGTCGGCCTTTATCGATTCAACTTACTCAGTAATTCGCCAAGTAATCCACTAAATAATTATCAGTTTTATGTTTGTAAGCACTTAGTTAAACATTTGCAGTTGACACTTTTAATGTGTATTATTATACACATTTAATGTAGTATTAGACAATGTCCATTAGTAATGTATTTGTATTTGATACTTTTTTATCGTATTAGATGATGTTTATTAGTTTTATTGTAATGTTATTAGTTTTGTGGTTGAATTTCAATATTATTATAAGTTTAATGTAGTGAGTTTTTTCAATATTTTGGACAGAAAGCTGGAATTTTTATAATTTTTTGTTGTTTTTTTTAAATAAAAAGTAATTAGTGACAGAATACCTACGGAAAATCCGTCGGTAATGTGGGCCGTTGGAAATTCGTAGGTGATAAAGTCAATGTCAGTCAAAGTGGGTCCCGTCGGCAATCCGTAGGAAATCTGTCACTATTTCTTTCTGTAACTATTCCGTAGGTATAATACCTAGGGAAAAAGCCCATAGGCATTCCGTAGCTAAGCCGTCGCAAATCTATAGGTAAAATTTACCCACAAGTGTTTATGTTACGGTCCTTTTTCCGTCGCAATTCCGTAGGTAACTCCGTATACCTACGGATTTTGCCGTAGGTATTATATATCCGATTTTCTAGTAGTGTGCTCCAGCCATTTAGTTCAGTTCTAAAATTGTGCATCATCAAATAATGTTGTTTTTCTATCTATTGGCAAGTCGCAAGTACAACTCACCATTTTTTTTTAAATCTTGTATGCATTTAGGAAAAAATGACTTTGAATTGTTTTCAGATCAAACGAAAATTCTGCACTATATATATTTTTTTAGTCCAATAGCAGGCGTGCGATTTGTTTTATTATAAGTTACGCTACCTTTCTATTTGCGATTGGCTGTTTGAATGGTTTCAGCTGGGTTTAAACAAATTTCTGGCATAATTAGTTGGTAAATCGTGTGTGGTTAAATTGCTAAAGTGGATCCTAGTTTAAAGGGAAACTTCCATGTAGACAGTTCCCCTATTTTTCACAAGTATTGTTATAAACTTATACGTGAACATGAGGGAATAGACGACCCCTGAAAGAGCTAATAGGTATAACGAAAAAAAGAGAGAAAATAGTACATGAAAAAAACGTAGCTCTTTGTCATTCAAAATAGCGGTCTCTATCCTTAGCTTGCAAAAGAAATTGTAACCCTATTACACTTTCATTTTTGGAGAGTTGCGTTAATAAAGTTGTCGGGAATATATAGGTTGCCGTGTAAAACTTGACTATTCCACAACTCTCTCGTGCTTTGTTTTGTTCCGATAGCTATGTCTACCACTCTGAGGTGAAGAGTTGCAACGAGGGAATTGTCATGCTTTTTCCAGTTAAATTTTCTAGAGGTTGTTTTGAAGTTTGATATATAGACAAACGTATTAGATGAAAAATCTGTATTGTTGTGAACTAATCTTCATGTCTTGTAAAATCTGGTTTTTTTTTCTTTTCAGTAGAGTAACATATGCAAAGGACAGACATAAAGAGAGAACTTTAAGATTATCATTTTACAAACCGAAATATATCTAAGATACACAATACAAAGTAACTTCTATATAGAACCTTCTAAACATAGGTGACATATATGCAAACAGCTGATGCATGCATGTGGCAATGACTACATGTTCTTGCTACACATGACACATATGCAACAGCATTTATTAGAAATATCGAACTCATTATCAAACATAACATAAAATTGAAATTTCACACCGGATCGATTTATTATGTTTTTTTTCTAGTATGTGTGGCTCAAATACTTATTTTGGTTAACCTCACCTTTAGGCCATGCTTCATCATAAGTACCATGGAAGCGCTAGGAATAACCGGGTGACCTTCTACCAGCTCAATGTGATAATGATAAATGATTGTAGATGCCACTATCTTTAGTTGAGTGAAACTCATGTCCTTACCTAAGCAAGTCCTCGGCCCACCACTAAATGCCACGAACTTGGAAGATGGCTCATGTTTGATACCTCCTTTCTCTGAAATCCATCTTTCAGGCTTGAATTCCGTACAATCCTTACCCCATATCTTTTCCATCCTTCCCATGCCATAGTAATATAGAATAATCCTGGTGTTTTGACTAACGTGGTGGCCACTTGGAAGGATTTCTGGCTGTAATGGAGTTTTGTGATTAAAAGGAACAGGAGGGTAAAGCCTTAAGGCTTCGCATAGAGCCCCATGAAGATAAACCAGTTTTCCTACCTCTTTGGAATTCCAGTTCTTCTGATCATCTACTTTCATCTCCAGAAACGTCTGAATCTCCTCTCGGATCTTGTCCTCTACGATTGGATTTTTTGCAACGAGATAGAAAAACCATGAGAGAGTTGTGCTAGTTGTATCTCTCCCTGCACCCAAGAGGGTCACTATGGTATCCCTTACAAAGTTTTTGGGAGGATATCCAAAATTGCCGCTTTGGCTTTTGAATTCTGTTACCAGGGATGTCACTAATCCAAAACTTTCATGCACATGTTCGCTTTCCATGTTAATGGACTCGTGTTGTATTCTAGCTAAGCACTTGTCTACGAAGTGATAAACTGCATTGTATGCGTCACTCAACTTCTTCTCATTCCCCATCCTCAGTAATCGTTGTACTTTCCAAAAGATTGGGGGTATAAGATGCCTGTACAACATGCCGTCTGTAATATCTACCCAGGCTTTCTCACACGGAATGTAAGGAAAATTTAGAGACAAGCTTTGAGGGTCATAGTCTAAGAGCACCTTGCATATAGTGTCAAAAGTGAACCTTTGAAATATTTCCTGCAAGTCGATTTCCATGCCTGTTTTGGATATAGACTCTAATACTGGCAAAAGCCCACTTTCCACCTTATTCCAGACAACTGCTTCAAAAACACTTTGAAAGTTGGGTTGCCTAAAGAGCGACATGATGGTTTTGCGGTGAATTTCCCATAGATGTCCGTCGAGATTAATGATTCCATCTCCAAAAATGTCAAACAGTTTACGGTATTTTTGGCCTTTTGGATAATTAGAAAAGTTCTTGCTCAAAACATGGTGAATGTCTAATGGGTCTGTGGTGATAAGCATATCCATGTTGGCAAACCAATGGCCTTTCCACTTGAAAGTACCTCCACTACGATTCAGAGTCCTGGTGAGTGTATTATGGAGTCGGTGCAAGTTTGTGAAGGTTTCAGGTATCATACCAAGAGGCAGCCAGAGTCTTTTGATAAGACTTTTTAGGTTTTGAGGTTTGTAATGAAAAACTAAAAAGGTAAGGCATATGAGAATGAGAATGGACAAAGCTTCAAGGAGAGTCATGAGGAAGAAACGAAATGATAGAGAGATTATAAGGCGGTAAGGGGAGCTAGGAGGTTATATCATATATCATATAGTGCATGGGTATATAAAAGAAAACTTTCCATGTGGCAAGTGCCACCCTTAAACTACACTTGATGTATCCCTATGTCGATAGTTTCCATTTTATTGAGATTTAAGTCCAGTTGTAATAATTATTTTTAATAATATATAATCGCAAATTTATAACAGCTTTCACTAATTATTCAACGGAAGGAAACATATTCATTAAATAGTAAAACAAATAAGTGATTTATGTCAAGGTTGTCAAGATTGGGATCTTACCCAAGATTGTTTTATGTTTTGCAAGACCGTGATCGTAAGATCGGATAACAATTATAAGATCGGTGACGAGGCTAGGTATAAGGAAGGTGGGTCCTAGGATCCACCTAATTTTTTTAATTTATCTAAAATTTCTATAGAAAATTTTTAGGGACATACCATAAAAAAAATTATGACCTATCTTACCTATAAAAATCTTCGAATTTCTATAGAAAAATATATATAGAAAAATTAGTGAACCATATGATTTTCTATTCTATACTCGTTACTGCATAGGATCCTACCAAAATGAACTCATATTTAAATTTATTTGTAAGGTTTGAAGGGTATTGGGTGTTCAGAATACATTATAGCTTAAAGTTGATTAATATGTTGAGTTGACTTTAACTTTTCAAATAAGAACCATAGATTTTGTTGTTGCAAACCGTAAAAATTATAAAGAAAACAAGTTAATTGCAAAAAGAAACAAAATGATTATGATAATGTACAACTAAAGATTTAAGACCACAAAAAGGAATATCATGATTCATGAATGTAATCTACCTAATTTGAAATGAATCAATAAAACCGAACTCTATGAAACTTATTGAAACTTGCGATAATCGATTTTAAGTCAAATAGATGGATTTTTTAAGTTCAACTATGTAATAAACTAAATTAGAGAGGTAAGATCGGAACATGTTAAGTTCTTAAAATCCTAGTCGAGATCTTAAGATCTCATTATATATATTGTTTCAGATAGATCTTAGTGAGAGCTGGATCGTTTTTGGCTTGTAAGATCTTAAAATCTTAAAATTTTAAGATTAGATCTGAATCTTAACAACCATAATGTATATATATGTATGTTTTTCTTGGTTATATATTATGCAAACATGTATAAAGATTAAAGGTGACTTTTTCTTCATATTTATAAACGTTTAAGATTGTTAAGTATATTTAAATAATAATCTGTCACGTCTTAATTAAATATTGACAAATAAGTGTGTAGAGATAAGAATAAAAATTTGTGTAAATGTAATCAATTTATCTATTCTTAACTAAATATAAAACTTTTAAAGTAATTCATGACCGTAAATCTGTAATAGCTTCCAAAAAAAAATTGTCTTTATTTTTTTTTTTCTAAGAATGAGTTTTAATAAACTTTTCTCAATTCTTTTTGAACAATTAAAAACATTGCACCTTATTATTTTAACAAGAAAAAATAAAAGTAGGTTTAATTTCATTTTTTTAAAATTAACTTTTTAATCATGTCAATTAACTATTTATTTTTTACTATAAATTTTTGAATCATATCATCATAAAGTTTCACATCTTTTCTTGGAACCATGCAAACTACTTTGTGACAATGATATATTAAAAAGGATGAATGGTTTACGAACACAAATAACCAAAAACGTGAGTGACTATATTACGAATGTTTAGACAAAAGTTCTTTTAACACGATATATGATTTGATTTTTAACGTGAGTATACACCTATAACAAAATTTTAATAATTTATTGTTTATGTCATTGCTATTTAATTTTTTTTTTAACGGCAACACTTTATTAAAAAAGAGTAGATTCACTACTAGAAACAGGGTTTCAGAGACGGACGAATCCGTCGCTATTCCGTCGCTAAATGTTGTTTAGGATGGATCATCGACAGCTTCACTTCATAGGTAATTAAAAGGTGGCTAATGACTCAGCAAAGGTTTTAGCGACGGATCAGTTTTTCCTTGCGACAAATTTAGCGACAGAATATCCGTCTCTCAATACATTTACCCAGGACATACGACAAAATTTGTTAAAGAGTTTCCGTCGTTGTTCTGTCGCAAAACTTCCCTGATCAGTTTTTTTTTCCGTAGCTAATCCCTTGCAAAGTTCATATATTAAAAAAAAAATTGTTGCGGATCTGTCGCAAACTTTAGACATGGTTTTTTCCCATAGCTAATCCCTCGCAAAATTCATAAATTATCTTTGTTCTTTTTCCGTCGCTGATCTGTCGCAAACTTTAGACATGATTTTTTTTCCGTAGCTAATCCCTCACAAAATTCATGCATTATTATTATTTTTTTTTGTCACTAATTCGTAGCGAACTTGTAATATCATTTTTTTTATTATGAATCTAAAAGAAAAAAAAATACTACAATCATCAAATTATTATACTAAAAACATCAAATAATGATACAACCAAACATTATAATACAAAAACTATCAAAGTTACCGAATGACTGTCAGAATATGTATAAATGACCATTTTACCCTCCCCTTCAATTAACCTATATCAAGACATGCTTTGTGCATTAAGTAAAAAAGAAACATGCATATATATACTTGAGGAAGGATTCCACCGATTAAAGCAACACAGAGAGCAATAACAGATCCGATTGTTATAACGTATCTGAAATCATGATAATGATTTTAGATGTAAATAAAGATGAAATTACAATTACACTCTTCAGAAAGAAATGTTGTATGCTTACACTGCTCCATTCATTCCATAACTAGCAAAAGTAGAGGCGATAGGGTATCAGGGTCTAATTGGGAACATGACACCAAACCAATCACAACAGCAGATACGAACATATACAAAACACAACATGTAAACAGTGATACCCCAATCCCAATAGGTAAATCTCTCTGAGGATTCTTCACCTGTGATATAAACAATATGAAAATTACAATTATACCCTTCAGAAAGAACAATCACAATCACAATCACTAGTGTTACCTCTTCTGCTGTGCTGGTTACTGCATCAAAACCAACATATGAGAAAAAAACGGTTGCAGATCCAGCAAGTACTCCATTAGCTCCATACGGGAAATACCTGAAAATCAGAAACATGTTTCATGTTGCCAAGGGTAAAATGGTAATTTAACACATGTGAAAAAAATGAACATATTACCCGCCTGGAACTTTATATCCCACCCATTAAGTCTTGAAACCTATGTATCCACCAACTACCATGATGAAAAGCAAGGCTACAACGTTTATTGTTGTGATTATGCCTTGAGCCAATGAACTCTAAAAGTATTCATTCTATTAGTATAATAAAATTTAAGAATATGTGCTATAAGAATAAGTCATTAATTGAAAGGACTAAAATACCTCTTTGATTCCAGTGCAAAGTAGTCCAGTTATAATGAAGACTAAAACAGCAGCACAAGGATCAACTACAATTCCAAGAATGGTGGGTCGAGTTAAGAAAGCAGGAAGCTTATCTGGACCTCCAAGAAACACAGCCTGCTTAAAATTGAAATTATAATTCGAAAAAGAAAAAGAAAATTGAAATTAAAAATTAGGTTGAAAGAAGAAGGAGATGAAGTGCACCATATTTGGGGATATGCCACGGGCTACTGCTGCTCCACCAAGTATGTATTCAAGAATCAGGGACCAACCAATCAACCAAGCAACACTGGAAGTTGAAGGGGATAGAATATTGATTTGCAGAAAGAAAATATGATTATATGAATAAGATAATTATTAGGAGAAATTACGAGATTACCCTTCTCCAACACATAAGTAGGAATAGTGATATGCACTTCCTGCAGATGGGCAACGACATGCGAGTTCTGCATAACATAATGCTGAAAGTGCAGCTGCTATTCCGGCTATGAGGAATGATATTGTGATTGCATGCCCTGTTTGCTCTTTAGCAACTGTTCCAACAAGAATGTAAACTCCAGCTCCAATTGTTGCTCCAACTCCTGATAAAATTGGTTTAACTTTTAGGTTAATTGATACCAATGCATCCCAACATCATACATACATACATACATACATACATACATACATACATACATATATAACAAATTCATTGCATAACGACACTAGGAGAAACAGCGTGTATTAATCAACAAAACAGATAGACGATGAAAGGTGAAAGGTGATGATACGTAAGTTGATTGAAAACAGAGAGACGTTTGGCCAACTGAAAACCCTCAGCTCTAGCGACACTTGCATCAACCTGTTTTCTCCTCGCTAAACATCCCACGAATCCACCCTAACTTTCTCCAGCGCATCCACCAAGGGAATAAAAAAATAATTCTATTTGTCTTTCTAAAATCATTAACGGAGGTTGTTATCATGTTTCCTACAGAATCATTAGAACATGTTTATCATAATAGTTCAATGGTTACAGTATATTGATCAAAAGATGCATTGGCCAAAAAAGAAGAGGAAATAAGACAAAATTACATACCTGCCTTGGAGAACTACTCAAGGGATGTCGTACTTATATATTGACACATTGATCTGTCAAGAAATGAATAATGATTAAAAAAAATTAATAAAAAGAAACAACTACAAAATTATTTGTGTAAATTGTTGTGTGGATAACAGCTAAGCTTACCTTTACAGGAAGTTCATCCACAGAAAAATCCAATTCTTCTCCCCACATTGGATTTCTTCAACCAGGAACCATTTAGTTGCAGATCAACATCAGTAAAAATGACCATTTCTATAAAACAGAAGCAACCAGTGAGATTCTTAATTGAAATTGACCAAATCTTGCTATAAATTTTACCTAAAGTGCTTTTCTGTACCACAAGTGACGATTGCATAAGGATCTTACATGTCATTCAAGTTGGCACCAATAAGATTCTTATCTGCGAACAGTTCCACCTTCAAAACATAACAGATAATGCTACAAATTAGCAAGAACAAAAGAAATGAAAAACCATTTAGAATTTTAGATACACCTTGATTACATAAGTAGAGCTGGCATCTATCTACAAAAATAAGTATAGAAGTGTTTGTCATACACAAAAGGATAAGCACCTGTGAAACAAATAGTATGTAAAGTAACCAAAATTATCACATTTTTTTATTTATGTTTCTTGAATCTGATTTAGTTAAAGTAAGATATGTTATATTAAGTTCTATTATTTATATTTATGATGCAGTGCTCAATGGATAGGAAACCATGGATTCTCAATAGGAATTGATGATGTGCAACCTGGGGATAATTTGAATAAAAACACAAATAGAATTATTTCTCAATGGAATAAAAAATGTGATAATTTCATATTGGATTTTAATAAAGGAAAGCTCAAGTTACAACCTGGTTGTAATGCTGCTCAGACCCTTGAAGCTGGGATCACAGGTGTACTAAATAAGATCAGAGATGAAACTGGAAAGGTAATAATAGATTAATATCTATCTCCATGTTTTTTAATCAACTAAATGAATAATGAATTTACATAAACAGGTATGTATGGAAAAACTACATTGGAGAAACAACCCTTTAATTATGTCTCAATGTGGGTCCAAAGGTTCTCCAATCAACATAAGTCAAATGATTGCATGTGTTGGTCAACAATCAGTAGGAGGTCAACGAGCTCCAAACGGATTCATAGACAGAAGAAGTCTTCCCATTTTCAAAGAATGTCAAAAGCCCGTGCTGTATGTTTTACATTTTTACCGCTCATACATATAACTATCATCTTTCTTTCTTTTATATTTATCTTTTTTTTTCTTCAATTTAGGCAAAAGGGTTTGTAGCAAATTCTTTTTACAGTGGTTTAACAGCTACTGAGTTTTTCTTCCACACCATGGGAGAACGAGAAGGTCTTGTGGACACAGCGATAATTTCTCTTAAAAAAACGAAGTTTTAAAAATAATAAGTAAAAGGGTATATTATGGTAATTTTGTAATGTGTCACACACACACAGGTGAAAACAGCTGATACGGGTTACATGTCTAGAAAACTTATCAAAGGATTGGAGGATTTATCAATTTACTATGATAACACAGTAAGAGATGCAAGTGCATGTATTGTTCAATTTACATATGGTGGTGATGGAAGAGATCCTTCTCAAATGGAAGGAAAATCAGGGTTTCCTCTTAATTTCTCAAGGTTATTGGATAAAGTCAAGGTATTTAACTATTTATATTTTATAACACTAAATATATTTCACATGGAGATATGGATGATTTTTTAGGGAATGTTGACTTACCAACAGAAACATCAAATTGTGTTGTTCTTTCAAATCCAGATATGGTTGAGCATGTGTTACTAGATTGGACATTGTGGGTAGCAGCAACAGTTCTAATACAAAGGATAAACCATAATCTTACAGTTTTGCAAAGGATAAACCTCGTTCAGCATCTGTTAGTGACACTTCACAGGGGTGACTCTTCTAGGAGTGATATTGAAAGATGGGTTTTTGGTTTTTGAATTGGAACATGTTGTTAGGTTTGTGATCATGACTTTTGATCCACCAGAGCTGACATCAAGAAATGAAATTTTAAGAGAGTCAATGGGGAAACACATTATTGTTAGAAACATGTGATAGGCCCTGATTCTTTCTTGAATAAGACACAGATTCCATTGATAATCAAACTATGAACTGATAAGATAGATTAGGGTTTTCCCATTCATTCGAGAGGAATGGACTCTCCAAGAAGAACAAAGTTCTTAACAATATAATTCTTAGCTACCTCACAAAGACTCGACATCTACCTTAAATATAACGATAATAAGACAAAAAACAAGCAGCCACTGATCCCAAAAAAGGTTTGTCCCCCACAACAGTTGTTTCCACCCATGATTGGCTGCAGACTAACCAATTAACAAATTAAAATAAAAGACTAAACTACCCCTTTGACCAAATACCAGTAAAATAAGAAGGAATCACCCAATTTCCCCTTTTTGCCCCTTTCTATAAACTAGTAAACTCTGGGGCTTATCAACATGTTGCTTGTGATGCTAATTGATCTAGTAGTGACCATTACATCATAAGAGCTTCTTGAACAATGGCATAAGATTGCCTCCTCCAAGTTTATAACTTACTTTTTTGATGAAGCAGTTCATCCTACAACTATGAGATGGGTGATGACTCTTCTCCATTCAAACAATGATTGCCTATGAAACTGGTGATGTTGGGCTTGTTGCAGAGCTTGTGGATGCATGTACAGAGAGGACAGGAGTGTTGAGAATTGATGGCCACATCGAACGATTTCTCAATCAATTCAATACAATCTCATATCGACAGAATGATGATAAAGATAAGAACTTACCGGATGGAGAATGATGTTAATCTCATGGTCTTCACTGCCTTATGATCAATGATTCGCCAAGACGATGCACTCTTATGATGGAGAAGATTAGGCGATCGATTGGGTTTCTTAGGATGTTGTTATGGAGAGAAAAGATAAATAACGTGAAGAACTATCCATCTCCCTGCATTCCGATCGCTATATATGAAGTACATCTCGTGGGAAATCCATATTAGGCCCCTCATGTCTTTGTTATTACTACTAATCCCATCAATTAATGTAAGACATAAATATGAGACCTATTTGGTCGTTTAGGCAAACCTTAAGATATTAATAATAATTATACCTTGTGAACTTAATTAATTTCATAAATGATCCAAGGACATATAATTGGATTATTTTCCAACAAGGAGAGCTTCAGGGTGAAGCTTTGATGCACAAAACTTATGCTACCAGGCTTATATATGACTAAAGCAACCAATCAAGCCCGATATCAAGTTCTAATTCTAAGTATCTATTCTAATATAGATACAATCGATATAAGAGGAATGACGATTGAAAAAGGAAAAAAAAATTGTGAAATTAAACCCTAACGTAATATATTGTGCAATTGAACCAAACCTAACCTAATATATGACTAAAGCAAATAAAATCAAGAGGTTTACCTGAATCGGAAGCTAATGAAGAATAATTTTAGATTTTAAAAATGTGGAGGTTGTCGGAATCGGAAGCTGCAATGGTCCATGGTGTCGTCATCTGTTTGAACGGAGAGAGTGAGATTAGGTTAAGCTGCAACTCGAGAGTGATGCGTGTTCAACTGGAGTGATAAAGCAGATTTGGGAGGGAAGGAAACTTACACAAACTTCGTGAAACTGGAATTGGATTCGCCAATTTCAGCGAGAGATCTTCAATTAAAAAAACATAACGTGTGTATGCTCCGTCAGCATTCTCTCGCTAAACACATACCAGATGGCAAAAATTCGACGATTTTTTTTCCCTTGTTGAACCCTCGCCAAATGTCTTCGTTTACCACCGATTACCGAGGAATAAGGGTGTGTCGATAAATACTTGTAAGATCCCGTAGCTTATCCCTCGCTAAACTAATATGCTATATGTTGAATAAATAAAATACTTGTTTAAACCATCGTAGATCTCTCGTAATTCGCTCTCTATAAGCAAAAATTTTGCTACAGAATAAATCCCTTTCTAAATCCGTAGCTAAAACTCAAGTTTCTAGTAGTGATTGGGTTATCAAACCATGAGTCCCAAGACAAAGATCTACCCCACTTAGCTCTATTTTTAAGCCAAAAAAACCCTAAAGAAGGCCCTAGAAACCGTGCCTGTACGTCCATATAACCCATAAGAAGGCCCTAGAGATCGTGTCAATGATATCTTTCTTTCTATTGCCTTTTTTGTGGATTGAGTTTACTCCAATGAGGTTGTCCAAAGAGTCATTTTCATTGAGAGCATCCTTCCACCACACACGAACTGCTCCCAACTCCGTAGTGGTTGAACAATCTTTAAATATATGAACAATCATTGCTATTTAAATTAATATTCATAGCCATGGAAAACAGACGAAGTGTAGGGAAAACGTTCCAAAAAAAGGCCATGAGGACTAAGAATATTATAAATTTATAAAATTGTTTTCACTTGATGTGACTAGGGATGAGATCGGTTTTGAAATCGGACCAAACCGAATTAGAATCGGAAAACCAAAAGTGGATACGGGTATCGACGAACCGAAAACCGAACCGATGAGTAGTGTATGTTCCGATTTCGTTCTGGTTTTGCAGTTAAATAACCGCAAAGAACTGATTTTAAAAGTACATTGACTTTTTCCAATAATTATCTTAAATTACAGCCACAATATTCGGCCATATATGTTTAGGTATTACATAGTGAGAAGTTAGTTATTACATATGGACTCAAAAATATGTAAAACTAGGGGGTGAACCCACGCTCCACATGGGTCGAAAAGAAACAATTTAAAAAAGGAACATTTATTTACAATCTTTTTAGATATAAGGACGGTATGGTTATCTACTCAAATTTTGAGTGATATGTGTGCTTTCTATTTGACAAACAAATGCCGCTTCAGCAACAACATTCAAAGCATTCAACCTCTCGATAAGCTTTTGCTTCCTCTAATCGTAAGCAAACTTCTTCATATTGTATCTAGATTCAATCTGAAACAATATACACACAACCAATAAGATGATAACCAAAATGTTTTCAATTATCCAACCCCATAAATGTACTTCAAGTTGCTTCCTAAGTTGCACGGAAACAGATATGGCAACAGGAAACGGATACGAAACGGAAATGGGAAACGACAAAACTCAAAAATTCAAGATACGAATATGGCAGAGATACGGCAATATAAAAATATGTATATAATATGTAATATATTGATGTAAAGTGTAAGCTTCAAAAAATACTAAATCTTTCAAATGTAATTAATTATCAATAATCAAATCATTTTCAATATTCGGTTCAACTAGTGAACGATCGGAAACCTCAAAAAACCCTACATCTTCCATTGAATCAAAAGCATCTCCACCCACATCCCACATTGTTACATCATAATTCGGATTCCTTTGACAAAAAGTCCGAGATTATTGTGTATGTAAACCAAGTCTTCAGTGTAGTCAACTTGTTCCTCTTAAGCGAGTGAATAAATGCATAAGTACTCCAATTACACTCAGCACAAGAAGAAGAACTAGGTTGTCCAAGTAATCTAAAAGCCAAAATCTAGAGAAAAGGATTTTGAGCGCCAAAGTTAACCCACCAATTCTTGGGTTCCATAGTAGCTATCTTTGAAATGCTTGTTAAATCCTCAAAAGGACCACTCTTCATTGAAAACATTGCATACTCATCAAGGACTCTGCTATACTCATAATCATTAGGAAACAACCTTCGAAAACATTTCATCCTTTCTTGTGAAATTTCTCCATCCCTATGTGGAGCACATCTTGTAGAATCCTCAAGTAACTATGCATCAATATAATATCTACAACATTCAAAAGTTAAAACATAAGTATATAAATAGAAATCAAGTGTATAATTTAAAATCATATACCTTTGATTTAAAGAGTGAGCTAAACAATGTAGGGGAGTGTTATTATTCGCCCATCAAGCCACTAAAATACGATGTACAACATCATAAAAGCAATTTATTTGAGATGTCGGACGTTTTTCTTTCTTGTAGATCTCAATCGTCACTTTCTCAATCATCGAATCCCACATCTCATACACCAAGTTTAAACATGGTTTGTCGGTGTCACAAAATCTAATCATCTCATATATAGGTCCAGTGAAACTAAGAATATATACTACTTTGTCCCACCATTCATCATTTAAAATATATTCTTTTACAAAGTTTGCTTTCTCAATGTCATCTAATCTATAAGAAGACCATTCTTCGCTTATGACCATAGCTTTGAAAACCCTTTTTGATAAGTTTCAATGTCTTGAGCATCACAATGATGTAGGCAAAGCGAGTATCGGCAACCGAAAGCAGTTTAAGAGGAGTAAACTAGGTGAAAATCGAGAGTCGCATGTTATGGTTCATGATGAAATTTTTTATTGCAAGCGCATCTTCGTGAACTTCTTTTATCCAGCTGCATTGTTCATATGTTAGTTCATTTGTTTCCACATTCCTTGGTGAACAAATGTCCTTCAAAGCAAGATTAAGAGTATGAACAACACATGGTGTCCAATAGATGTGAGGAAACTAACTCTCTATAATCTCTCCAGCCGCCTTACAATTTGCTGCATTGTCAGTAATGATTTGCACAACATTTTAATGACCAATTTCATTGATGACTTCTTTCATCAATTCAGCAATATAAAATCTATCTTTTACTTCCCCAATGAAATTGGTCGTCAATGAAATTGGTCACCAATGAATTGTTTTCGGGAAGTAAAAGATAGATTTTATATTGTTGAATTGATGAAAGAAGTCATCAATGAAATTAGTCATCAAAATGTTGTACAAATCATTACTTACAATGCAGCAAATTGTAAGGCGGCTAGAGAGATTATAGAGAGTCAGTTTTCTCACATCTATTGGACACCATGTGTTGTTTATACGCTTAATCTTGCTTTGAAGAACATTTGTTCACCAAGGAATGTGGAAACAAATGAACTAACATACGAACAATACAGCTGGATAAAAGAAGTTCAAAAAGATACGCTTGCAATAAAAAATTTCATCATGAACCATAACATGAGACTCTCGATTTTCACCAAGTTTACTCCTCTTAGACTGCTTTCGGTTGCCGACACTCGCCTTGCCTTCATCATTGTGATGCTCAAGAGATTGAAACTTATCAAAAGGGGTCTTCAAACTATGGTCGTAACCGAAGAATGAACTTCTTATAGATTAGATTACACTGAGAAAGCAAACTTTGTGAAAGAATATATTTTGAATGATGAATGGTGGGACAAAGTAGCATATATTCTTAGTTTCACTGGAACTGTATATGAGATGATTACAGTTTGTGACACCAACAAGCCATGTTTACATTTTGTGTATGAGATGTGGGATTCGATGATTGAGAAAGTAAAGATTGAGATCCACAAGAAAGAAAAACGTCTGGCATCTCAAATAAGTTGCTTTTATGATGTCGTGCATCGTATTTTAGTGGCTCGATGGGCGAAGAGTAACACTCCCCTACATTGTTTAGCTCACTCTTCAAATCAAATGTATATGATTTAAAAATATACACTTGATTTCTATTATATACTTATGTTTTAACTTTTAAATGTTGTAGATATTATAGTGATGCATGGTTACTTGAGGATTCTACAAGATGTGCTCCACATAGGGATACAGAAATTTCACAAGAAAGGATGAAATGTTTTTGAAGGTTGTTTCCTAATGATGATGAGTATAGCATAGTCCTTGATGAGTATGCAATGTTTTCAATGAAGAATGGTCTTTTTGAGGATTTTCACAAGCATTTCAAAGATGGCTACTATGGAACCCAATAATTGGTGGGTTAACTTTGGTACTCAAAACTCCTTTTCTACAGACTTTGGCTTTTAGATTACTTTGACAACATAGTTCTTCTTCTTGTGCTGAGCGTAATTGGAGTACTTATGCATTTATTCACTCGCTTAAGAGGAACAAGTTGATTACAAATCATGCTCAAGACTTGGTTTACATACACAATAATCTCCGACTTTTGTCAAGGAACTCGAATGATGATGTTAAGATGTGGGATGTGGGTGGAGATGACTTTAATTCAATGGAAGATGTAGGGTTTTTGGAGGTTGTCGATCTCTCACTAGATGAACCGAATTTTGAAAATGATTTGATTATTGATAATTAATTACCTTTGAAAGATTTAGTATTTTTGGAGTTTACACTTTACATCAATATATATCTATTTTGGAATTTCTTCTATATATATATATATATATATATATATATATATATATATACTGTCGCATCTCTGACGTATCCGTATCTTGAATTTTTGGGGTTTGTCGTTTCCCGTTTCTTTTCCATATCTGTTTCCCATTGTCGATCCGTTTCTGTGCAACTTAGGTTTCCGTGCAACTTAGGTTTCCGTGCATCATAGGTTGCTTCTAATCCTTGTTAAATCCAACAAACTTCTTTTCACTGTGAGGGATGTCAATTCCACCATCCAATGCTCCCCATAACATTCCAATTATAGCATTCTACTTTCAATTTTGCTTAAAATAAACAAACCAATGAAAGTATGTTGCTATTTCTTGCATGTATATACCTTGAGGGCACCAAAAATAGATGATTTAGAAGTGTATTTGCCAAAAAAAAAATAACTCCAACTTCAAAAACGTGAAACCTCTTTAATGCTTATATTGTTATTAGACAAATTATAGAAATTGGCCCTGTGGTTTTATGGTTATTGGACTGGTAGCCCATTTTTTTCCAACCATACAACCCATATGTTTGTATTTTGTTGTTGTTTCGGTCTCTTGTCCATGTACAATCAGAATTGTATATATTTAAAATAAGAGATGACCAATTTGTAGATGAATGAAAAATCACTTCACCAGAAAGAATATCCATACCTACCAAAGACACCATATTCTTCCATTTCTGTCCATGTAAGCACCACACCAATATTTGGCTGGATTTGACAATAAGCAGCAACATCCTCTAATAGAAGTCTATTCCAAAGAGACTATTCTTCCATTTCTTTCTAGATGAGCACCATACCAAATACCAAGTCTATTTGTTGGAATAATCCAGAAGCTTAGAAGAATTTATCTAGTTTATTTTTTGAATTTTTTATTCATTATCCTTTCTTCCTGCATTTTAGAGATAAACTCATCTACTTAGTTTGATTTGTTTCTTTCAAGTATATGTAGGAACGATATTTATGATGTTATAGTGAGTTTTTCAGTTCAACAAAATCCCAACATAAAGTTGGACAAAAATACCCCTCAATTGTTTCTTCTTGTTCTTTGTTCCCCTGTTCTTACTTCTTGATGTTAGAGTTATGCAGGCTATGTTTTTGTTTCAAACAGGTCTTGACTTCATTTGGTATCAAAGCTAAGAGCTGACCAGGTTAGTTGCAAGAAATACACCCACAATAATGGAAGGCCAGAAGAAAGACGACTCGTTTTCACTCCATTACCTACTGTTGACCAGAAGAAAATATGTTGCCTGGGCTATCAAGATGAAGGTATCCATGCAAGCTTAAGAAGTGTGGGAAGCTATTGAGTCTAAGAACCCTCAGAATCCTGTCAGTGGCAAGAAGGATAAGATGGCAATGGTTGTCATCTACCAAGCCATTCCTGAAGATATTTTGTTGTCTTTGGCGAGGAAGCAGACAACAAAGGAAGCTTGGGAAACACTCAAAACCATGTACATGGGTGTCGATCGTGTAAGGAAGGGAAAGGTACAAACCCTAAAAGCAGAGTTCGAGATTTTGAATATGAAGGAGTCGGAGAATGTAGATGAATTTGCAGCAAAGGTGAGCAATATTGTAAGCAACATCTGAGCTTTGGGAGACAAGATTGAGGAAGCGTATGTGGTGAAGAAACTATTGCGCAGTGCCATCAAAATTCTTGCAAATTGCATCAACCATTGAGCTGTTTGCAGACCTTGACCATATGACAGTGGATGAGGTGGTTGGAAGATTAAAAGCTCACGAAGAGAGAATTAAAGGCCATAGTGAAATAGATGAGAAAAAGCTCTTGTTGACTCAACAAGAGTGGCTGGAAAAATCCAAGAAGCAAGGAGAATATGAGACACGATCTTCGAAATGTTCAAAATGGTCCAACTCAAGCAATAATCGAGGTCGAGGAAAAGGACGTGGAAGAAGTTCTAATAACCACAGAGGAGGTCGTCGAGGAGGCAACTCCTTCCAGCATCGTGACAGTGGTCATGGGTCATCTGGTGTCCGGGATAACAGTAAGGTAAGGTGTTACAATTGTCAAGACCTTGGTCATTATGCCTCTGATTGTAAGAATCCATGACGAGAAAGGATCCTGGAAGCAAATTTAACCCAAGGAAATCTTGATGATGAACCGGCCTTATTATTGACTACCTGTAAAGAAGCCTATGATGTTAATGAAGAAAAAGTAAACCCAAAGTTAAGATCAGCAGGAGATGAACCCAGTAACACAAACATTTGGTACTTGGATAATGGTGCTAGTAACCATATGACGGGTCAAAAGGAAAAGTTTCGTGAATTAAACCAATGCATTCAAGGCTTTGTGAAATTTAGTGATGGCTCAAAAGTACGTATAGAAGGAAAAGGCTCGATTATGTTCAAGTGTAAGAATGAGGAATATCGTGTACTAAAGGAGGTTTACTACGTCCCGAGTTTATGTAGTAATATAATCAGCCTAGGTCAATTGGCTGAAGGTGGTGACCGGATTCTGATGCTTGGCTCGTTTCTGTGGATACATGATATACAAGGAAGACTCCTTATGAAGGTAAAAAGATCACCCAATCGTTTGTATAAATTGTTTTGGAAGATGTTGTATCGAAATGTTTACTTGGGAAGATTAGCGAACATGCTAAATTGTGGCATGCCCGGATGGGACATGTGAGCTTTTCATCGCTCAAACTCATGTCGGACAAAGAAATGGTTCAAGGGATGCCAAGATTAACTAATCCTACAGGTTTGTGTGAAGGCTGTTTAGTGGGTAAACAAATTTGACACCTTACCCCTCACACGCGAACTTCAGGCCAGTAGGAGACTAGAGTTGGTTCATGGGGACCTTTGTGATCCAATTTCGCCAGCCACGTTCAAGAAATTCAGAGCATTAGTAGAAATTGAAACAAATGAAAAGTTGAAAGTTTTCCGTACAGATGGTGGGGGGAATTTCTCTCAAAAGAATTCACCTCCTACTGTGATGAGACCGATTTAAAATGACAATACACAACTCCGTACTCTCCTCAACAGAACGATCGAAGTCGTGGAAAGACGGAACCATACAATTGTGGAGATGGCGAGATGCACACTTAAACGCATGCAAGTACCTGAAACGGTATGGGGTGAAGCAATATGTAATGTGGTATATATTCTAAATAGGGTGACGACAAAGGCACTCGATGAGGCAACTCCTTATCAGATTTGGACCGGTAGAAAACCCAACATTGAGTATCTAAGGGTGTTTTGTTGTGTAGCGCACATGTAAGTGACTGGCGGTCATCTTCAGAAACTTGACAACCGGAGCAAGGCAGTGGTTCACATAGGAACAGAAACAGGGACGAAAGCCTATAGATTGCTTGATCTAGAGACGGGGGACATTTGGGTGAGTAAAGATGTCCGTTTTGAAGAAGAGAAAACGTGGTCATGGGGTAAATCGGAAAAATTCAAAGTTACTCCAGGGATGACTTTTACAATTGAAGATTTTATGCCACTGAATGAAGGAAATGAAGTAGAAACGGAACCTTACATGCCTAAACTTTATGATAGTGGGTATGTACATGGAAATGAAAACTCTACAGAGGACATTCCATCAGAAACACCTATACCATCCGGTCCACAACCTGCCACTCCAACACCCATAACTCCGGTAAGTTCAACCGGATCCGCTAGCACCGCCTCAAGTTCCACAGGTGGAGGAGCTCCTAAAAGATTTTGCACTCTGATAGACCTGTATGAAGTGTATGAAGAGTGTGAAGAACTCTTAGTCCTGAATAATAGTGAAGAACCAACCACTTACACTTTAGCTTCCAAACACAAGGAGTGGAATGATACAATGAGGAGTGAACTCGATGCAATTGAAAAGAACAGGACTTGGTCACTTGTAGACCTACCACCGGGACGCAAACCAATTCAATTGGACTCAAGTGGGTCTATAAAGTAAAGAAGGACCCAAATGGAAAGGTGATAAAACACAAAGCACGGTTGGTGGCAA